AAACAAAATGTTAGAATGTGTTAGAATAGCTGCTTCTCATATTTCGATATTTCTATTATTTCTCAATATTTACCACAGATCAGTATGATGATCAGTATATAGAAAGATCATTTAGATGGTAAAATACCTAAATTATCAAAGTTTTAGTCCAGTTCTGGGCATAAAATAACATTAGTTAAATGTTCATTTTGTGAAGACAAGACTGAACGCTACTTATAATCAGATATAAGTAGTATATCAGCGAACGAATCCAGAAAAGTTAGAATATGTTTTTGGGCACTGAAGAAAAGCAGTCAGAGAAGAGAACTGTGAGAAGAACGTCACAACACTTTGCAGAATTCAACAAGCTATCGAACGTGGTGATATTCGACCAATTTTCAAATAAAGACTTGAAGATAAGGTGTACCAAGTTTATGTACCTACATTGCGTTTTGTTCTAATAAACATGGCATCTGAGCCTCATCCTTCTTTCCTTCCTAACAATTTGTGTTGCTGCCTCTGCCGGAGATGAAAGTACCTTGGACTCAGGTATTCGAGGATGGAGATTTGAAGACATTCCTCAAGGACCTCAAAGCTGTCGCGGACCTGGTTGGAATATAGGAGCAGAGGGCGAAGCCAGTTGTCTTATGGACTCTGCTGACAGGCCATGCAAAGGTTGCCAATGACAACGCCCAGGAAGTAAAGGGGTGAGGCGGCGTGGGACAAGATCGTCGAGAAGCTCGCATGCGAGTTCGATAGCCCCACGGATAGATAAGAGGCTCTGCAGAAGTACCGGACTCTGAGGCTTGACTGGGACGGGGATCCGTTAGTTCTTGCAGTAGAGCTGAAAGGTTTTCTTCTTTACAGTATCACTGATAAAATTTATGAATGAGGCGAACCAGATCATGAAGCACACGGTGGTGAGCAAGAAGACAAGAATACCCTGAACTCATAGGAAAATTCTAGAAGGATTTCGACTTTGCGGATAATTTATGTATAATTTCATCGAAACTCGTAAAATCTGCAGTTGAAAACCAACGGTTTGGTAAATGAAGCGGCGAAGACGAAGAAGGATTTCCGATGAAGATATCTGTTATATAGACCTTTATTTCCCTCCACTTATGACCTTGGAAACCTATTGGTTTTTGACTGTTTTAACTTATCAATGTAATTATTGTCTCTCAGGGTCATTCAAAGGATATAAATATTTGCAATCGCTGTCCACCATTTTCGCTGTTGATTTAAGACAGTAAAAGCTTATTAGTCTGTCTTATTTTCTTGTCTTCTTAATTCGTGGTTTTGATGGTGTCGTGTCGTGTCGTTGTGGTTGCTAATAGTGGTTAGAACAATAGGTTCGCAAATCGACAAGGTAGGAAGTTCTTTAGCACAAACTATCAAGTGAATTACTGGCCATATCAATATCTGACTAAAAACAACAAAGATCACTGACTATCAAGGGAAGAAATCTGCAAGGTATTGTCTCTTTCAATTACCTGTACAGCATCCTTTAAACTACAAACTGCACAGATGAGGATGTCTAAGTCACCATCTTTAAGGTGATATAGACTTTCATTTACCCGAAATCAGTATGCAAATCGACAGTATTCAGCATCAGGACAAGGTGAAGAGTTTCAGGAGGGAAGAAATAAGGCTATTGTTGACGTTTATCAACATTATATTTCTCTCCGTACCGAAGATTGGATGTCTAGGAAGGATAAGTAGCAGGGAACTTTGGGAACGAACGAACCAAAAAGAATATTGAGATAAATCGGATACAATCTAAATGGACCATCGAGTGACTTCACGCTCCAGATATAGCCTCTACTGGAACTCGAGAAGGGGATGACAATTTGGGAGTTCGATGGTGACATAGCTGTAATCGTGTGAGACGGAAATGAGTGCTTATACACAGTCTTGTAACCGGTTACAGTGGACTGCAGACAACTGGATGAAATAGTGATGAACCCTATATTCCACCTTGCGCCCAAGGAAGTAATAATCCAAACAGATTCACTGCAGATATGCAGATGACATTTTTCGAAAGTTATTAAGCTGCGTATAAATTATTTGAGAAAATACGTCGTTAATTCAGTCAGCTCCGGAAAAAATCATATATACTATTCTACATTTTTGTGGTAATTTTTTGGGGTCTCATCGCTAAACGTAATCTTAAAGACGCTATATGTAGAACAGAAAGATGCTTTCAATGCTTCGCTTTACAGTAAATCAGAATGATAAAGGTTGTGGTAACAACTGTGTTGATATGACTTAACTTTCCATTGTTTTTTGTTTGATTTGACTTGAATTTTGTTTGTATGCTTATTTTTCTACTTGAAACCCTTGTGTAATTCCGTATATTTTGTTTCCATGTACACCCTGAGTACAGCTCTTTCATTAAACTATTCATGTTATTACATTACGCAACTCTTCTTTAACAATCGTTTGTGACAACTCATCACTTTTGTTACTACCCTCTTATATCAACATTCAATTCATCTGAACTTACTAATTGTATTTTCGTTTGACAAATTTAATGTATACACACATACAAAGCAAGCATATATAGTTGCGATTGTACAGCTGTGAAAATGAATTCGCCGAAAAACGGACTCTTCGCTGAATCACTTGTCTTTTGTCCTAAATATGTTGCTCAAATACACATTACAGGTTTCATCCAAATAAATTACGTTTTTTTTATTGTGTTTTTGAAATACATAAAGGGAATGAATTACTATGAATCTGTTTGGGAATCACTGAAAAAGCAGGGGCGTCGGACAGCTGCTTCGTCCTAGTTTGAGACACCATCTGTGTGTACCTGTTTTGATCTGTGTCACTAGCTGGAATGAACTCGTTGCCAATTTGTTATAGACCTGTCACCAATTGATGTGATTGTCTCGACAGCTGGTATGACTGAGTGGTTGACTTATGTGTGGGTATTATAAAACTGATGCAATAAACAACTCAACTGATACGCAAACGGGACCCTCGGGGTTTCACTTTATTGAACGTACTGTTGTCAATCAGTTTCTTCTTAAATAAATCTCTCAGTGCGTTTATGATGCGTTTATTTTAGCTGTATTTGTTATATCTGTCCAACAGTCGTTGACTTTAAACCTCAACGGGTCATTCAACACAAACTTCATTTAACTAGATTTTAAAGGTGAAAATATTGCAGGAAGGGTTAACAGAAGACTGAGTACGTCACTAGTAGGAGTCTATCATGTAGCTAAGTTGTTTCCCGTCTATCGGACGACATGCTCTTTGGTGTAGTCAAAAGTCGAAAGATACGCTTCTCATGTTAAATCCAACTGTGTAAACAAATCTTAGTGTATCTGCGGGAGGAGCTACATTGGAAGAACAGAAAGAATGGCACACTCTCAATTTTCTGAGCATGTGCCAACAAGACTACGTCAGAACTGGAACAAACTCTTATAATAGCGCTATTACCAGACATCGCGATACGGGTGATGAGGTGGAAACTGCGAATTCCTTTAAAATTATCAACAGACGGAACAGCTCAATTCTCTCCAAGTTTGTCGAAGCAATCTTCATCAAACGCCTGAAACCCAATTTATCTGTTCAGAAAGAAGAAGTTATCACCAGTCTTTCCTTACCCTGTCTGGTAACTGCATTTCTTTATTTCCTCTTTCTTATTTGATTGAGTATTCTTCGGGTTTAACTTGATCCCCATTTTGATATAATGCAATTTGCTAATCTCCTGTTTCTATGATTTGAGTTGAACTCATTACATTGTTACCTAATTTATTAGTCACTCTGCGTCTCACGCATCTCTCGCCTTTATTACGTAACTCCCTTACCATTACATGCATACATTTATTTTGTTTAAATTTGAACTGAGTGTGTGAAAACTGCATAAGCGCAATTTTCTGAGCACTGTCTACTAATTGCGGACCTTTCTGTCAACTGACATAATGAAAAAAACTGCAAATATTTTAAAACTTATTAAGAAAAGACGTTGGTTGGTGGTCGCGCTATGTCGTGAATTAGCAATGGGCCATTGGATTGGGTCCCAGTGGTTTAATGGTCTACAAGCTAACCCGCCTTGTAACCAGAAGATTCTGGTTTCGAGCCCTGGCGTGTGCGTACTGCTGAAGAGTCTCAAACTAGGCTGACAAAACACCTGGCCGTCCAGTACTCCTTGCAGGTTTTCCAGTGCTTCTCCAAATGATATCAGCTCATAATGAAATCCTCCAACCAATCCAACAGAAAAATTATTAGAATTCACCAAAATTTAATTTATGGAGAAAAATAAAATATTTCAATATATTTTTTTTCAATCTTTCCATCTTCTATGAAAAATTCTATTTCTTCTCAAATACAACAACATCCACACACTCACACACACACAAACACATCTACATGCAGAAAATGAAACTGAAATTGAAATAAAGAAATAAAATAAAATAACCATCTAAAGTGTTGTTGTTGGTGTTTGTTTTGTTGAAGATATTTCAAAACCCAGAAAAATGAAACAATATTACTGACAACAAGCATAATAATCATATCAGTAGTATATTTATGCAAATATATTTATAATTGAATGTTAGCTTGTAAGTAGTATATTTAATAAAACATCTGTATTATGAATATCTTATTTATTTGTTTAATTATTTATTTATGCACTGAAAATTTGAAATGAGTTGTCAAAAATTGACAAAAAACGAACAAAACACTTGAACACAATTCTGTATTGGTTTATTTATGCAAGGTCATCCATCCTTTCCGGCATATTCTTAACATCGCTTGACTTCTCTGTGAACTCATTTCAAAGTCCTTCTTTTTCAATGCTCTTTTGTAAAAATGGGAAATCATGAGGAGGTGAAAAAAGACAGAGATAATTGGGGGTAGAGTGGGGTGAGGATAGGGACAAAGAGAGGAACACTCTTCACCTTACTTCTTTATATATATATGGAATGACTTCTTTAAGGTATCTGTACACAGAAACACACACAATACACGCTGTGAGTGAATGAGATTGTTTTTTTTTTCGTTTTTTTTTTGAAGTCTTCAAGGATTTTCATATAATTCTTCGTCTGTTGTAATACGTTTTACAGCATCTTTTAATGATGTATACCTTTTGAGAAAGCCTTCACTTTTACTGGAATGATAAAGCAAGTCCAGTTCATTCACTGTTTGTACAATCAACTGTAATCGATTCTCTAAACGTTCATTGGATTCACGTAGACGTCGATTTTGTATAGTCAACTCTTCAACGGTATAATCTAAAATTGAAAATGAAATCAATAAATCATCAGAGAAATGATTATTATTACAAATATATTGTTTTAATTTTTAAAAAGTCTGATCACCCATGACTGATGGGGATTCCTCGACTGAAAGATGAAGTACTTATACTAGCTAGCCACATCTAACTGTATCTACCAATTCACCTGCGCTAGTGGTGTAGTGAGTTATATTGGCCATTGCTCCAGGAACTTGATTTCCCTATGCTCACTCGGGAACATCTACCAGGGTGACTAAGTAAAGATGTAATAAAACCCATCAACAGTTCGATATTAGAACACATCGTTCAAAACGGCCGGCCACAAAGTCAGCACTAAAGGGTCCTTCTCGATCATCATCTATCGGGTATCAAATAAACTGTCAAAAGCACATTGGTACCGCACACTCCAAACAGCAGAGGCTTTTGTGATTCGTGATTCTGAAACAACCACTACTCTTCGTGCATAAGAAGTAAGTCCAACTAGTGACCACTACTACTACCCTGATCGGCCTTCAGTGGAGAGTATAAATTCATGAATTTTTATTATTACTATTTTAACTAATTTGTCCGTCTGATATTCAGTGTGTTGTTCTGTTAATGCTATCGAAATGTAATCCGTTAGTATTATTATTATTGATTCGATGTTATTTAAACAATATTAATATTGTTGTTAATAACACTAATTCATTCATTCACTATTATGGATGGATATATAACTATAGAAGCTGATGACAAAGAGGAGGTTATCGATCAGAAGAATATTATTTGTTCCTTTGAGAAATTGATAGAGAGTTTAGAGGTGAGAAAATAGACTTATATCAAGTTAAAAGAAGATCAAATTAAGAATTAAGATCATCAAAAACAAATGAGAGACACAGTAATGCATTTACCCTGGCTGGTATCAAAACAAAGTTTACCAAGGAAGGCTTAATTAGTGTTTTGACTAATTGTTGCTTTGAATGCATAAAGTTAGTTTAAACTTCCTAATTGCCAGCTAGGGTTTCCACAGACTTTAGGATACGCCCTACCCCAAATATGTTCTATAGATAGGTTTAAAAGATGTGTGGAAATATCAATTTTATGTCTTCTCTCCCCTGAAATATGTTTCGCAATAGAGGAGCTAGGTTGTTGTCTGTTCTCATCATTAGTGGTGATGAAGACAGAAAGTTGATACAGACTCTGGTTGTTAACAGTTATCCAGACAACTTAATCAGGAGACGTAAAGTGGTCAGTGGAACACCAAGAGCCACTCACTCTCCAACTCGCCCCTCAGAAAGACGTGCACATCAAGCTACCCTATATGGGTAATCATAGCAGCGGTTGAACGCTGTGGCTAAAAAGATTTTTTTATACAGCTAAGATCATAATAATTGAGAATGTGAAGCCGATATATCCATCTATCCAGGCCTTTTGAACATGCGAAAAATAATGTCACATCCTACTGTATTTAACAGTTAGAATGTACGTGTGGACACACATACATAGAAGAGAGGACTCATCGATCTCTGAAAGCCAGGACTGGCTTCAGAGCGTATTGCAAAATAGCTCCAGGAACAAACATAATCCCCAGAACCCACTAATTGTGAGAACAGTTGACCTAGATCCTTTATTGCGAAACATGTTACAGGGGAGAGAGGATAAAACATTGATATCCCCACACGTCTTTTAAGCCTTTCGATAGAATGTGTTTGGGGTTAGGCGTATCCTAAATATTTTGGATGCCCTAGCTGGCAGTTAGGAAGTTTAGACCACCTTTATGTGTTCAAAGCAACAGTTCGTCAACACACTAACTAGACCTTCCTTGGTAAACTTTGTTTTGATACTAGCCATGGTAGATGTGCTATTACCTCCCTCCTCTGGTTTAGTGGACTTCATTCTTATTCTGACCTTCTTTTAACTAGGTTTGTTTTCTTAACTCTTTATTAATTTCATCTATATTCCTATGAAAAGTCCGTGTGTGATCAGATCGTTCGAAATGTCTCTTGCATTTGTCATCACACGATTCAGGCAAATTACGTCTTCTTATTGCTTTGTCTGAATTCATGAAGGGAATTAATTCTTTTTAAATATTTATTTTTGATTTAATTTCTAGAAAATTCACAACCTACAAAATTAATTCTTTGCTAAATGTTCTTTGATTGACTGTCGTCGAGTCTCATCAGCTAGATGTACTTGCATTCTCACTCAATGAATGATTCAGTTCCTATTGAGACCCTTACCCTGTACTAATAAACTTTAAGTTGCTTAAAAATCCTAATTTAAACGGCATACCCAGCTTTCGCTATCCATATATATCACCAAACACTTACCAGCATGGTTTTACAAAGGAGAAAAACGATGCCCCTGCAGCTCTATCTTAGAACATCTGATAGATTCCGGGCACCAAGCTACACCGCAAACAAACTTCAAAGTCGTCTACAGAAGACAAATCAGTCTTCCTAAAGGTGTACGAATCAGACTTCTTCAAACCGCAGAAGCAATGGCATTTCATTTGCTAAGCCCTGAACTCTGCACACAGAAGTTCGTTCAATCACTAAACTTGCAATGGACGTAATCTATCTTATTACCTGACAAGTAAATTCCACCTAATCTTTTTTTCTGTCTCTTCATTAGTATTATTTTGTCTTTAAAATTGTAATATTTTACATTTTTAGCTTTGCTGTTCTCTACCCCCACCTGATTTATTTTCTACACCTCATTACCACTGTTACTGACTTGACCAACGCTCAATTTCTAGTCATTTATGTTACGTCATCTAATTTATTTGCTCAATTTTAGTTCTAATTCAAATGGTATTATTCTCTACTCCACCTCTAATTAGTCTCTATGTGTAATCACCTCTGTTGCTACCCTGACCTAGATTAAAACATTTTAGTCAATTATATTACGTCATCTAGCTTACTAACTCAATCTTACTTTAGTTGCTGTCTAATTAACCTTGTTTCTATATTAGATCATTCTTGTACCACCTGATTAATTATCTAAACTAGACAAACCTCATCTACACACATACACACAAATATTTTAATTATATATGAATGCGATTGTACAGTTATGTGAATGAATTCGCCGTTGGAAAGAGTCTCTTCGCTGAACGTCTTCCCTTTTTCATAATAATCTTTGTACAATTATTCCCTTTTTCATGAATTTGAATAAAGCAGAAAAGATAGTTTCTACAGAATAATATGGTACTATCATTTTGTTTCGTCGGCTTCTCATCAGCCGCGTACAAACTAAATCCATTAAAAAGTACGCAGGATTTAAAGGTTGAGACTGTAAAAGAAGCCCATTTTCACTCAAATCTAATATTCAACGCTAAACTGAATACATGACTAACCAGAATATATCCTGCAGTTAAGTTTCTTCCTATTTACCAGACAAGATGCTCTTTGATTTAATCAGAGCTGAGCAGATACCCTCCATATTGTTAGTGCCAGTTGTGTACACAAATTTACATGCATCTGCGGTAGCTATAGCTCGGCATCACGATGATATGAGTCATTATAGAGGTGGAATTTGTGAAATCCTTTCAATTTATCAATAGGCGATATAGTTAAATTCTTCCTACTTTTGTCGAACAAGCTGCTATCGAATGCCTGAATTCCGATTAATCTGTTCAGAAACAAGTGGTCATCAATTTCTCCTTGCCCTGGTTAAAGGATGTCCTTACCTACTTTTTATTTCGACTATGTAGTATTTGGCTTTATACATCTCCATTTTGCAATAATGTATTTTTGCTTGCCTTTTACTTCTTTGTTTTGAGTTGAACTCAACACATTGTTACTTAATGTGTTAGTAACTCATCCTGTTATCTACCTCATCTCTATGTATCAGCTATATACGTGTATATTCTGAGCACTGTTTATTAAATCTGGTGTCTCCCGTCCACTCCATTTTGGATAAAATTTATTTTGATAAAGTCCCAAAGTGTTATACAGTAACTAATATTTACTGATGACCATGTTTTGAGCGCAGTTTATCATTGCAGCTCATAATAATGTCAAGGTACACATACACACAGCTTTCTAACTTCGTTTATATAATTCCATTATTTCTCATCTCTTGATTTGATGATTGGTAGTAATATTTTCCATATCTCTGATATTTGTGTTGAGTCACGTCTGTTTCATGTGTTGGGTGTGAATTATTCGATGAACTAGCATTCAGTAATCAGTCTCTCTCCCTCCACTTAACTATATTACTTCTTAGAATTGGGACTCTTTCCTACCCTATTGTGTGGTTGTGTGTTAACACATGCAGTGAAATGTCTGAATTTCTTTCTAAATTACTCATCTGTCTTCGCGGGGACAATCATTCTAACCTTAACCACTAAATTCCTATGTTCCGACAATTACTTTAGGCCCTATGTAGCCGATGGGAAGCTGAATATATAAACTATGGTGCCATGTTATTGTTGTTTTACTTTATCCAGAACGAATAATTTTTGCTGCAGAACAGTTTGAAGTCACAGTCAAAACAACATATCAGTCATTCAGTGACTGAGGATGCAGGTATGTTCAGATAACGTGTCACAAGTGGGGAAAAAATACACCCACGCCTGGATTTCTCTACAAGGCAACACTAATCAAAGATAAATATAATTTTTTAATCTTCAAATGTCGGCGAAGTATTCACAATAGAAGCCAACAGTGGCAATTCATGAGAAGCAGCGATTTACTCAAACAAATTGTCATTTGAATGTTCCAGTGAAATAATAACATGTACGTCATTGATATTTTTTCGTTACGGATTAACGTTTTAATTATTTTTAAAATCGTTAATTACTCTAGGGATGTTTTTGTTATGATTTACGCATATTTCTCCAAATGAAGGGATACTTGAACTCCTGATGTGATCGCACATACCATCAACTGAAAATAAAGTTCACCCCCCCTCCCCACTAGAAATTTTCAACTTAAGAATCTCTACGGTCAGTTGCTTGCAAACATATAACTGTAAAACAGATTGATCATTTAGAGATTGGAAAATCTCCAAGAT